GAGGGAGGGAGGGAGGGAGAGGGAGGTCTCCGAGAAGACGGGTCTGAAAGCATCTAATCAGGAGTCCTGGTGGACGCTTCCCGAGGAGCCGAGCTGAAGGGCGAGCTGCTCGGCGGCTGCCCTAAGGCCGTGACCACACTTCTGCACCAGTAGCGGAGGTGTGGCCTCCACCAGGCGCAGGAGGAGGCCGCGTGTGTGCGGAGAGGCCGAGGGGTTCCCAGCCAAGCTCGCCGAGATGAGGCTCGGCAGCGTCGAAGCGGGGTGGACGACTCCAAGGTCGCAAAGTGAGTTAAGGCCCCGCAGGGCCTGCAGAGTGGAAATGCTGTCTGTGGAATGCAGGATCTGCATCACCTCCTTCTGCAGGCCTGCAAGGCTCTGTGCTGCTATGCTGGCTTCAGAGACGGCATCCATATCGGAACAGCTCGCACTGTTTGCTTGCGCCACCTCCTGGAAGTGCGCGGCCAGTCCTGTCTGGAGCGAGCCGAAGCAGAAGCACCAAGCATGACATGCGACTCTCAAGGATGCTTTCTGCTTCAAGGTCCTGCAAAGGTCTCTGCAGTGCGCGCCCTGAGGTTCGTGCCGAAGTTGCCCTCGGCCTGCTTTAAGCCGTGCCGGAGCACCTCCAGCGGCCCAGGACCACCGGGACCTCCGGGACCTCGCAATGCCTCCTCGCGGAGGAGGGACGGACAGCGTCGGAGCGCGAAGCCCAGCGCCGTCACGATGGCAGGCTGCCCGGCCAAAGGACCACGCAGGCAGCAGTCACTGAGCAGAAGGACAGCGCTTTCGAAGGCAAGCTTGCAACCACCCTCCGTGGAGAGCAGCTCAGAGCCCTGATCCAAAAATTCCACCACGGACCCCACGATCCATGCATGGCGACAGATCCTGCCGTTCGGAACGGGGCCACACTGCTGCACGACCTCTGCTAGGATGCGTACACCTCGGTTGAAGATGGGCGACGAAGACGGAGGCTCGAAACTTCTGCTGATACTTGATACCAGCAGCGCCAGAAAGGCTAAATGCACGTAAATGCAGCATGGCACTGCGACCGAAGTGGCCCACCAGCATCTGCCCCGCAGGGGGCCACAGTGGAACGAGCACTGCCAGGCATCGGACGACAGCCCGGGCGAGCAGGCCCAGGTCGCCTAGGGGAACCCTGGCCTCTTCCATCAGAGCCTCAGGTAAAGATCTTATAAGAAGTTTCCTCACTTTCAAGCCGCCCATCTCTTCTGTGCCATGCCGAGGGGCCGCCAGCTGGGCCATCAGCTTGCGTGCCTGGCTCTGCTTGGAGAGGGTGGAGGTGTGCTCGGCCCAGTGTGGCAGGACTTGCGCGAGGATGTTGCAGGCGCAGATGGGGAGGTCCAGCTCGGGGCTGGAAGGACCTGCGTCGCCTGCGTCCTGACACTGGTTGTCCACATCAAGCCATCGTTGCAGAAGCGCCAGGCTGGACTGAAAGGCGGCTGGGCGTTCCATCCCCACTTGCTCCAAGATTGTCAGGAGCTGTACGTGATGCTTCTCAAGCTTCTCTGGCTTTGCTGGCAGCACTGCGAAAGCACAACTAACGACCTCGGCCATCACTGACGTCGTTGCGACGGGCGCGTCCTCCACATCTTTGCTCGCGTCCATGGCCCTGCACGGTGCAGGGAATCACTCAAAACTCGGCTAGTATCACAGCGGGCGTTTTGGACTTCACACATGTGCAGCTTTGAAAAGAAAGCGTGCCTGCAGTGCGCAGCGATGACATCGCGGAGGCCAGTCCCACCCGCACCGCTTTGCGCGAGGAGGGCCTGGAGACTCTCCAGCCGATCCTTGCCGGTTTTGCTGAGCCCATCAAAAACCACCCGTGCCAGCACCCCCAGGACGAAGGAGCGGATCGTCGGCTGCTCGGATCGCAGCCGGCGCAGAAGATTGCCTGCCTCTTGCAGGCAGTGGCTCGGGGCCTCCACGCCCTCCTCAAGCCACTGGCATGCGGCACGGAAGGCCGCTCGGCGCACGAGAGGCGATGGATCAGACAGCCGCCCTCGCACGGCGCCGCGCAGCTCCGCCAGCCGTTGTTCGATGACCTCGCCGTGGCCGTGGCTGCTGAGCCGCAGGACGAGGTCCACGCTGGCCAGCCGAGCCAAAGCCGCCTCATCCTGCAGACCTCCACACCATGCAAATCAAAGCGCTTGCTTCATGGTGCCGCGTGAAAAGGCAGGTGCAGGCGCTGCATGTTCTGCCGAGAGGCCACTGGCCACAGCCTCCACGATACAGCGAGAGGCCAGCAGCGAGGGGTCCGCCATGCAGGCCCCGGCCAAGCTCGCCAAGGCCTCCCCCAAGCCAGGCTTGGAAGCGAAAACAGCACAAGACGACGAGGCCCCACGGTTCTGTGCCTGGCGCCGTACGAGGGCCAATGGATGGCCCCGACCGATCGAGAGCAGCGACTCGAGCGCCGCAGTTCCTATGCGAAGCACAGCTACAGGCAGAGCCTGCACACATTGCATCCTCCACCCCGCCCTTTATTGCAGGATATTGGGTGGAGGAAGGCGGAAGGCTAAGGGCATCTTATGACGAGCAGCTTGCACGACACAGATAGCTCTCCCCATCCCGCCAGAGCAGGTGACTGTAGAGGCGTCGTGCGCCTCAAGTGTTGCAGTGGTCTGAAAACCGGAGAGCTGATACACAAAATCGACGGGAACCCAACGTGTGACTTCAGCAAGGCTAGATTCGCAGCGATCCACTTTTCAGATGAGCTGCTGCGGCCGGCCTGGACGCTTGCTTTCTCTGCACCTCCCGGCAAGAACGAAAGAGGGGAAAGCGAGAGACAGGACAAGGAAGAGTGAGATAAGAAACGCAGAGACAGAGAAGTTGCAACCCCTGCCTGATTCCAAGCTGCTGCAGCTCGCCCATGAGCGAAGGATTGGGAGACTTCCATCCGCCTTGAAGCATTTGTCACGTGTCATGTGTCATGTATTGCCTAGAGAAATGCCCCTGCCTGGGAGGTCTTCGTGGCCTTGGCTTTCTTCCCCTTGCCAGGCGAACTGCCCGTGGCCAGACAGAGCAAAGCCGCAGCCTGGGCACAAGGCAACACAAGGCAGCACAAGCACACAGCAGCGCAAACACTGAGAAGGGAGCGTTGCAGGTGGCGCAGCTCGCTGGCACAGCACTTCCCTGCAAGAGCCCTGGGGAGGAGGTGCCGGAGGCAGGTGCCAGCAGTGCGCTCTCCTGACCCCCAGAGTCACGCTTCTGGAATCCAGCGAGGGCCAGCAAGCTCGACGTGCTCCGTGCATGCTCTGTACCAGAGGCAGGCATTGCCTTTCGCAGAACGGAGGCATCGGATTCACAGGTGGCTGCAGTCGTTCCCGATGCTTCCAAGTGCTGCGAGCAGAGGGCTTCTGCGGCCTTTCCGATCAATCGTGTGGCTTCCTCCCGCCGCCCACATTCCAACTCGACGCCACGGGAGGCCCCAGCCACTCGTCGCAGGGCAGCGATCATGCGCAATGCAAAGAGCGGGGCTGCCGCCCACCTTGGATCTGCACAAGCGGACACGAGTTGCATCACGAGACCCTCGAGTTGCGTGAAATCGCTGCCATGAGAGTCCACCAAGACCTGCAAGACGGCCGCTGCGAGGTTCCCGGCACGAGCCTCCGCCGATGCCACACACTCTGCGGCCCGTCGGGCTGTCTGCGCCATCTGAGCCGTGCCATCGCTGCCCCGAGCTTCCTCTAAGTTCAAAGGAAGCAGCGTCGCACCGATGGCTCGCAAGGCAAGGGCGAGAAAGGAAGGGCCCTTCCCTGAAAGGCCGTTCACCAGCATCTGCTGGCTTGCTGCTAGCTTGCCAAGCTCTGCAAAGGCAGCAGACTGAAGCGCCGCATCTGTGCAGCCGTAGCCCAGAAGCGCCACGAGTAGGTCACCACTTGCTTCGCCAAGGGCTGCCAAAGCCGCTTTGATGACTGCTGGGCTGCAAGAGGACAGCGAGGAGGCGATGGAAGAACACTGCGAGGCCAGGACAGCGGTGCGGTGCGCCAGGCAGGTTGCAGGCAAAGCGCGGCTCGCATAACGTCGAGAGGCGAAGAGGTGGTGAATCGAGCGAAGAGCACGCGTGACTTTGGTACATGTAGCCGCAGCTTCTGTGCTCGCAGCATTGGCCTCGAGCAACATGGGCAGTGTGAACCTTACCTGACAGGGGGCATGACCGACTGTCTCACAGGTCACTAGTCATCGCATCATGCTTCTACACTTAAGACTCTTGATCCGCATCGGCACTGCACAGTGCCGTGGAACAAGATCCTTCCCCTTCCCCTGAAGCACCTCGTGCCAGAGAAAAGACACCGAATGAGCAATGACCTCCTCTCCCGGCTGAACGTTCGGCACTCCGCTCTCTGCCGCCGAGCCGTCTCTGCTGGGCTGGCTCGTAGCCGAAAGATCCAGGACCAAGGAGGCTAGTGATAAGCCCGCAGAATCATTCTCGAGCTTTGCCTCCGAAGACTCAGGCCTGCGTCGATCCAAATCCCCCGGGGTCAGGCACTTGCTCTGCAAGGCCTTGAAGACTCGGGAGAGCACGTCTCCGCCGTCTGCAACATGTACTAAATCCTTCGCAGCATCGCTGATCGCCTCTCTGCATCTCCAGGAATCCATTTTCACTTCCCAGGCCAGATGTGAGAGCTCTTGGATGGCTGCCATGGGAAGCCGGGCGTGTGATGATTTCTCGGACAGAAAGGCCTCGCAGGCCCTCGTCATTTCTTCAATGAGCTGACGTGTCCCAGCCGGATCCGGCTCTGGCTCCCTAAGGGTCCCTGAGCCCTTCTCCTTCCTCCCGTTCCTCCCGTCTTTTGAAGCCTTTCCCCCGGCTTTCGTGACGGGTTTCTGTCCACACTTCTTGGGCGGACGGGGCATTCTGAGATGTGTCAGCCTCAGCTGGGAACGACACTATCGCAAAATATCGCAAAGCTTACAACCCTGAGTAAACATCGCACTGAGTGCACCACGCTGGGAACTGGACAGATGGTGCAACGCTCTGTTGCATCCCCGCGCTGAGCCAAGGTGAGCACCACAATGTGTGCGGTGCAGGCCACATTGCACTGCTTGGATATGCAGATATATGCAGGGTTTTGCATGACTCTCACAACACGGGCACCTCCCCTCGCCACTATGCTTGTTGCTTTTCTCCTGTTACCACGCTGATGTCGGCACGATAATCTTAAACTTTGTGGCCGGGTGCTGTTCAGCATCTGGCGAGCTAATGCAAGTCCTGTCCGGATTACAACTAAGTTTCTTGGCACCGATATTGTCTGCAGTGGCCTATAGAGAACATGACTTCAATGCCACCGATTGTCATCCGGAGCTGCCTAAAATATGTGTCTTTTCCCCGCTGTTTTATGGATCTTCTTCAAAGACCCCTTGGGGACTTCTTTTGAGGCTTGCTGCAGCCGTTGGAGCAGGTTCAGGCCGGCCCAGACCTCGCAGGCTTCACTGGAAGCTTGCCAAGCGGATTCAAGCGGTCGCGAGAGTCCAAAAAGGGGTTCTTTTATGAGCTCCAGAAGGGCTCCTCGAAGGGCTTGTGGCCAGTCTGCTTTGAGCTTTCTCAGGAAGTGGCTCTTTTCTTGCCGAGATGCGGGTACTCTTTCTGATACAAGGCCGCTTGTCTTCCTTGGCTCAACGTCCGACTCCATGAAGTCGCTTGCAGTCCCTTACCAAGGCCCCCTTCATTGCTACGGGCATGTGCGACAGGGTCATCCTACCGCAGGATCTGCAAGCTCAGCTGCGAGTCGGATCTTTCGACGCCGAGGCTCCTCCCCTCTTCCGCAGTAGCGCTACGACTTTCAGCTTCGCTTCGCGCATGGACCTCAGTCGGCTGTCGACATACGGCGAAGCGAACTCCTGATGGGTGAGGGCCCCAGGCTCTTTCAGCACGAACTTCGGCTCCAACATTGCCAAGTTTAAGGGCGTGCGACCATGGGCATCGAGCGAGTTCACGTTGCACTTTGTATGTCCGAGGAGCTTCTCCACGGCCTTACGAAGACGGTTTTGTTTCAGTAACTCTGCCAGTAGTGTGCCACAGAACTTCAAAAGGCAAGCGTCTTCATAGTGGCCCATGAGAGCGGCTAGGTGCAGAGGCGTTCTGCCATAGCCATCCCGGACCTTGGAGCTGCGGAGACTCAGAAATCGGAATTATGCAGGGACCCGGCCATGATGAAGCCCTGCAGTGGCAGAAGCCGGGCTCTTTTCCTAGCTGCCGCCCATGCTGCTCGGCAACAAAAGGACAAAAGGCGAAGCAACGAGAGCCTTGGGCAAAATGACTGCTCCTGACTCTTTAGGCGAGGGTGCAACTCATAAGCAAGGAACCTGTACATCTGGGAAGCGACCTCCTTTACACGCTACCACCCTTGCAAGCACCCTGCGGTGCTGTCGCACTTTCTTCCTCCCAGCGTGCACAATTCACTGCTTCAGCACATGGTGCTGCGCTTGCTTTCGAATTTGCCTTCGCTGATTTCCACCGGCTCACCGACGTACTCCACCTGCAGAGCCTCCTGCATGCCGGCACAGCAGGAGCAGAAGATCCAGACCAAGACGTCGCATGTGCAAGTGCAGCAGGTGCCGTGGGGCAACCCGTACTGGCTGCGGACACGCTGGCGGTGTCGGACAACCATCACCAACAGCAGGACATGGAAGAGCACCGCCAATGCCAGCAGAAGGATCATGGCACCCACGTGAGGGGGCTCTGAGGGCGATGAGCGGAGTTTGAGCCAGATGAAAACGCTCGGGAGCCTGGAAAGCACGTAGAGGAACTGAAACAGGAAGACTGCTGTGCCGAAACCCAGAAACTTGATCTGCGGTGAGCTGGCCGTGTCGGCCCAGCGCACGGGCAAGCACCAAAAGCTGCAGCAGCAGATCCGCAAGCTGTGGCAACAGCCATCGAAAAGACCGTACCGGAAGTCTTCCTGCGCACGCTCCGGCTGTAGCACCTCGTCCGGCGAAGGCTTGCTCTGGAAGCTGCTTGGATACAGCAAGCAGACGATGGTCACGAGGATCGTCTGCACAACCAGCCCCACTGCCGTCAACACGGCATATCGGTGGAACGCGTCCTTCCTGGCCTTCTGCAGCAACTGTTCCCTCTCCTCCAGGGCCTTCTCCAGCAGCAACAGCTGCATTTGTTCCTCCGCAACCGCTGCGTCCTCTGCAGAAAAAGGCTGCTCGTTGTCGGCAGGCTGTTGATACGTGGCTTCTTGCACCTGGGGATTCTGTTGCTCCTGGAGCCACCCTCGAAATGAACCCCGATGATCAAGGTCTTGTGCCTGAGCACCGGATAGAGCGAGGATGCCAAGGGCCCACACGAGGCTGAGACCACGGACGGCGAACATGGCGTCAGGAGGAAACGCTCCGTGTGACTTGAAGCCTTCAGCTCGTCTCTGTACAACTCGAGCACGGGTGAACACTGCCAGACTCGATCCTGTGTAGACGAATCTTCAGTCTGATGCGGCATCCATGGCAGATGAAAGCCAAGCCACGTTTGGACTCATGCCGAACTTCAGTTGCCATTCTATTTCGTCTGCATCACCACTCTCTGCTGCGCAGAACCTCGATGAGCGTTAGCCGGAGGGGGGGGGACATTCTCAGGCTCAAGAATGTGCGGCCCAGATGCATGGAGGCCACTTGTTGAGTCTTGTCGTCTTGCGCCTCAAGGTGACACACCCCTGGCCCGGCCTGGCCTCTGGCTGGCGGCACCTGGCCTCCTCCGCAAGGAAGAGCACCTGCCCATGGAGCTACGCCAGCTACGCCGGCTACCGGAAGTGCTCCAAGCTAGCTGCTCCGACCGCAGAGTCCGCGCCTTTACGGGAGGCTGCGTGAGGTCTTTGGCACTCACGGCATCCATGGCTTCACAGGTGCACTTCGGGCGCTGGGCGCGTCAAAGGAACAAGGTTAGGAAAGGGTCTGTTGGCATATTTGGGCTCAATGGCCCTGTGGATGTCTGTGGCTTTGGGGTTTAGGGCTCTGCCCCAGTGGCTTCGGCCTCAGCGAGTCGAGGCTTGAGGCTACGGCAGCCAGAATACCTCGCCGCCACGCAGCAAGATCGCTCGCCGGCCAGGATGAAACCACCAGGAGCTTTTGTTCACCATTGCTCCGCGCGGCCCATTCGTGGAATGGTAGCGAATCCTCAGCCACCAATTCAATGGAAGCCTCCTGAAGGGGGCATCTCAAGGCTGAGAGCCAGGCCCCTCGAGACCAAAGGCTCAAGACTTCCTCGGATATCCTCGAGCGCAGTGCTCGGAGACTTCTGGTGTTCCGCTTAGCCTGAGCTCGCTAAAGCCGTGTGAACCTGGTGCGGCTTCGAGGATGCAGTCGGCCTTGCTTTGGAAGGCTCAAAAAACGATCGGATGCAACTGTAACTGCAAGTGACCCCTTTGTTTGGGATTTGACAACTTCTTCACCAAGGCAGCCACGAAGAACATCCTGGAGGTCGCGTGGCAACCCGTGGCTGGCCTGGCCAAGGCAGATGTTGAGGGACTGCCATTGCCAAGAGCTGTCTGGAGAGTTGAAACAGGAACAGTTGCTGCAACCCACAAGGGCTCCGTTTGAGTCAAACGCCTGCTAGGACCTTGCTACTACTTAAACAGTGGCTTGCTCTGCCGCGCTTGTCCAGCATGCTTCAACGAAGAACGCCTATGCCTAAAGGGCGGACCACCGGCTGCAGGGTGCAGAATTTCTGTGGGAATTTATTTTTGCTTCTGTGGGAATGCTTGTGTTTTTTCGGTGCGGGGGGAAGGGGGGGATCAGAAGCAGGCAATGGCAGCTCGTGCTCTCAAGTGAGGAAGCGCAGAACCACAAAAGCGGACGAGACTCCCCCAAAACAAGAATCCCACAGGCGCAAAAAATAAATTCCCACAAAACAATCGCCATCCAGTAACTTCGGACATGACCGACTCAGCTTCGCGTGGTGGTATCAAGTCGCGACATGACTGCAGTTGCACTTTTGTACGAAACCACAGTCCGACCTCGATCTTGCAGTCGTCCAGGCCTTGGCCACCGACTGACGCACCGTGCCCGTCATGCCACGCCAAAGAAGCCGAGACACCTAAAAATTCAAGACGGAAGCGGTGGAGGAAGAGCCGCGGACACCACTTCAAATCGCTTTGCAGCGCCTGGGGGTACAGTACAGCACAGGCCGTCTCTCGCTGTCCAAAACGTCAGACACTCCTTCGAACGAATGCGACTGATCCGGTCTACTCGCTTGGACTACATATCAGAACTTGCATTAGTGAATTGCGACTCTCCCGTTGGTGAGAGCTTTGACTCAAGACTCTGCTCCATACCGCCCTGCCTGCGGTGCATAGCGCCCATCACAGACGACAGGATGGCCCACATGTGAAAGATGGCATCGGATCTGATGCTTGCCTCGGCGAAGGCGATCGAACCAAACCCGGACCAAGAGCTTCACAGCTTCATCTCGCGTTCCGAGTTGCGTCCCGTCAAAATGGACAGCACCACAAGGCCTCAGAAAAGCACACCCTCCGTTACAAAGACACAGGCAAGAAAGGACCTTCCTTTCTGCATCTGAGGATCTGTAATCTTCCGTCGAGGAGCCGCACTGCTGCGATAGCCTCAGCATGTTCATGCCGGACAGCAGCTTGGACTGTGGAGCTCGAGGCCCCGACCGCGTGAGGACTCGAAGCCGCGTGACGGCCGCCACGCCGCTCGCATGGACTTCGCTGGAGGCCCCCGCGCGCACCCGGATTGGAAGGCTGATCTGGGCCGGCGGAGGTGCAAGCTCGAAGATTCCATCAAAAGGCTGATACTACGATGTCTATGCCAACGGCATGCCGACAGACGAGGCGCTTCAGGTCCGCAACCGAAACCCTGCCTCATGCAAGCTGTCTGGCACCAAGCCATGGCACAGTGCCACGTACTCTCGGGCCTCGAACTTTCAGCTCCGTGTTGAGTCCAGTTCCGACTACAAGAACCACCTCACATCTCCCTGGTGTAGAAGTGTTGCTATTCAAGCTGGTGCTTGAAGTGTATGCCTTAATTATAATTACGCCATGGCGAGGCCAAGGGGCCACAGAATGGGTATCTTGCCGGAACTGTAGAAGCAGATGGGCCTTGGACTGCCGCCACTTGCTCCGGATCGCACGACACCGACCTGGCCTCGTAGGTCAGTGCACTGATCACAAGGCCAGATGACTGTGCATCCAACCTTCCTGTAACCACAGGGGCAGAATCGCATTTTTGCCATCCAACACAACCCTGAGAGGACGGCCGAGAAAACCGCCACCGGCAGAAGCATCACAAAGCAAAGGCCTGTGCTGCAGGTGCCGAGGGTCAACGGTGTAGAATGCTCTCCGACTGTTGCTGGACGCAAGCGCATGCAACCTGCTGGGGAACTGGATCTGCATGTAGCCAGAAAGGGGTATGGGCCGGCCTCCCACGGGCAAGCAGAACGGCCGGTTGCAGATCGCTTCAATCGCATGATGTCGCTGAGCCAGGCGCTAGAACCACCCACGGTGTCAGCACCGTCCACCTGTACTTTGATGGGCAAAATTGTGCACCCCCCGTGCTTCAAACTCACCCACAGTCATCCATGCAGAGCTATCGTCCTTTTATTGTTCTGTGTGGTCTGTTTTGGGACCCCCCCCTTGGCCCAGTCGCAACCCTCTGAGACCCCATCTGACCCCCGAAAAACACATCTGACCCCAAAAAACCCAATCTCACCCCTCCCCCAGCCATTTTGACCCACAGCCCAAGGTAGCCCAACACTTAACACTTACATTCCCGAACCCTCTCTTCCTTTGCTTCTTCTTCTTCTTCTCACGGGCTCTGGCGGTCCCCCACACAAGGCAGAACATAGCCTCCCAGTGGACAGGCTTGTGAAGAACCACAAAGCCTTGCTGCTCCTGCTAGGATGAGTGTCTTCGCAACTGGCGGTAGATAGACCGTTGACCTGGATGGGTTTGTGTTTTCGCTGTCCTTGTTGACAACGATAGTTGGCGAGTTGGATGCGTGGGTCGTCACCTGCAAGAAATTCACACGCGGCACGCATCGTCAAGCTCGCACTAGTCTGGGCGAAAAGCTGTAGGGAGGCACTAGTCACTAGTCCGACACGGCACAGGCATGCTGGAACTTTGGGATACTTTGGGAAGGGCGACAAGTTGAAGATTGAGCATGTGCAAATGTCGGCAAATTGAGGCGACCTCCGCCAACATCGCTGCTGGTTCGGTCATCCTGCGACATCAGATGGCGCACAAGGCAGAGTTGCAGACTCGACGTGCCGATGCCTTCCGCGAGTCTGCAAATCCCTGAGTCTCCCCTCTCTGAGGAGACAGTCTTGAATAAGCTTGTTCAGGCTGGACCTCAGCTCGTTCGATTGTGACATCAACCTGCACTCCAGCGTGAAAGTTGACAGGTTTAGAATTCTACGCCAGCGGGGCCAATTTCCCAGCCGTTGACACTATGCCTCTCTGCGGCGAGCGATAATGAATAGTCCCGCATTGCAAACAAAGGGAAACCTCAATCCGACTATGTGGCCATGCTCGCTACAACCCCTGAGGTGCAGACTAGAAACAATAAAAGTCCACGCACGGTATGTCATAGAACCGTAGCAAGAGCCACCATGTTCCTGCATTCCTGCTCTGCATCCACACCGAACCTTCACCAACCCAACCGCTCTGCAATGTGCCTCCGAATCCGCAAAGCTCCAGTCCTGAAAGCATCGTACGCAAGGCCCTGAGCCCCCGGCGCCCGGGAAACTTGTCCGAAGGAGCCAGCCCATGCCTCGGGCATCATTTCGCATCCTCCACATCCGAATCGATTATCATGAACATCTGATCATATTGGATCTTGCTTTTATAATATTGATCGTTTGCGTTGACTCCTCTTGCCTAATCTGCTGAAGGCTGTGCAACGCAACCCCTTTGGCATTGCTGATTGCTGTTGTCACCTTGCGTGCCATCATGCTATTGCCACTGATCTCTAAGGCATTAATCCCTGAACGTCGTGGTGCATGTAGTACTAGCAGTAAGAATAGTTCAGTAATGGTAGCAGTATCGGAATCGTCGGTGCAGTGACAACAGCAGCAGCAGCAGCAGCAGCGGCAGTGCCAGCATTGGGCACTGCCGCCATGAGCCCACCCCATTTCCACAGTCTGGCCTTTTCTCGACTTCGCAACTTAACAAGAAAAATGGCATTCGGTGGGTTTCAGTCCCGGGCAAGCTGCAGCAAGGCTTCGACAAAGCCCGGCCCACCCCGAGACGTCCTTCAAACGACAGCCGAAGGAGGCGAGCTTACACTGATGCAGGGCATTTCTCCAGAGTAGGCAAAAACAGAATCATAATGATGGCCAAACGTGAGACAATTCGGATATACGCTTTCAAGTTACAAATATGTCATTAGTCCGAACACTATGCCAGTTCAGCCAACACCGCCAGAACGCAAGCTAGACATGCACTGTGTCAAAGGCCCCCTTGGCCTTGGACCCTCGAGCAGTTGTTGGGCTCGTGGGAGAAGCGCCTGGGGACCAGACCAAAATTGGGGTGAGGCGAACATCGAAAGTTCTGCACACCACCCGGTGCAGAGTGCAATATCTCGCGACCCCTTGGCTCGACTGGGACTTCGCACTCCGAACCTTCCAAATCCCCACACATCTCTCGGACGGCAGGCCTCAATCAGCGACTCGCCGGCTTCCGATGCTGCCCACGCCTTAGAGTAAGTCGCTACTCTGACTCTGGGCATCTGACAGCTTTGGGCCCTCCGACCCAAGAGATCGCAGCGACCTCCGACAGCTGGAACTCTTCGAGCACCCGGTGGCTCGACCGCTCCAGAGCCTCTGCGCTTGCACTCTGCCTTGCCTTGCACTACCTTGTACTCAGACTCCACTCCCAT